AGCCCGGTGCCCGCTGGCGCCCTGCAGCCTCCCGAGTACCCCTGGATGAAGGAGAAGAAGGCAGCCAAGAAAACCGCGCTGCCGCCCGCCGCTGCCGCCACCACCGGCCCTGCCTGCCTCAGCCACAAAGGTCAGTCCAAAGACTTGGCCCCTCGGTTCCCCGGACCCTCTTGCCCTTCTGGGCTGCCCCGAGAGCGGGTAGGGGGGAGGGGAGCCTGGGCTGGAAGAGAAGGGGGAGAGGGAGAGATGCCTGGTTGCCTTTTCCCTGCCCCTTTGAGCGCAGGAGTGGGTTTGTTGGAAAGGAAAGGGATCCTGCGCTCAACAATGAGACATATATATTTTTAGGAAGAGGGGGGGAACTTTCCCTAACTTGTGTAATGTGGGATGATTTATTTGAGTTGGAACTGACCTCCTCTTGTCTAGTTGTCCTAGAGTTTGGCTTTTTGACAGTAATGAAGAGTGATAGATCGCTCTTGCTCAGCTAAGCAGCTGATGCATTAATTATAAATTGTGTTGTGGCTAATATAAAGTTTGCTCCCGGATGAAGAGGTTGGGGGAGCCACAGACAGGAATTTGATAGAGGTGGAGGAGATGGGGTTTCCCCAGGCTGGACTCCCAGGAAAGGCAGCACAATAGCTCTGCTGCATCCAGGGGCGGCCATTTTGTTGCAGTTGATCTTTTCTGCTATATTTATTCTCCAGTGGAATAACCCCGCTCGGACCCCTCCACCTCCAACTGTGCGTGTGTCTCTTGTTGGTTTCCCTTTCCGCAGAATCCCTGGAAATCGCCGATGGCAGCGGCGGGGGATCGCGGCGCCTGAGAACTGCTTACACTAACACGCAGCTTTTAGAGCTGGAAAAAGAATTTCATTTCAACAAGTACCTTTGCAGACCTCGAAGGGTGGAGATTGCAGCGTTGCTGGATTTGACTGAGAGACAAGTGAAAGTGTGGTTTCAGAACCGGAGGATGAAGCACAAGAGGCAGACCCAGTGCAAGGAGAACCAAAACAGCGATGGGAAATTTAAAAGCCTTGAGGACTCGGAGAAAGTGGAGGAGGACGAGGAAGAAAAGTCACTCTTTGAGCAAGCCCTCAGCGTCTCTGGGGCCCTTCTGGAGAGGGAAGGTTACACTTTTCAGCAAAATACCCTCTCCCAGCAGCAGGCTCCCAATGGACACAATGGCGACTCCCAAAGTTTCCCAGTTTCTCCTTTAACCAGCAATGAGAAAAATCTGAAACATTTTCAGCACCAGTCACCCACTGTTCCTAACTGCTTGTCAACAATGGGCCAGAACTGTGGAGCTGGCCTAAACAATGACAGTCCCGAGGCCCTCGAGGTCCCTTCTTTGCAGGACTTTAACGTTTTCTCCACAGATTCCTGCCTGCAGCTTTCAGATGCAGTCTCGCCCAGTTTGCCAGGTTCCCTCGACAGTCCTGTAGATATTTCAGCTGACAGCTTTGACTTTTTTACAGACACACTCACCACAATCGACTTGCAGCATCTGAATTACTAAAAACATTAAAACAAAACAAAGCATCACAAAACAAAAACCCCTTTGACCAGGTGGTTTTGCCTTCTTTTATTCCAGGAGTTGGTTTTTATTTTATTTTTTTTATCTCCCTCCCCTCTTAAATGGTGAGGCTCTTCTGTTCAGTGATTCTCCTGATTGTTTCAGAGCCATGTCTACAGATTATGTTGGAATTTTTATTGTTTTAAACCTAATCCAACAACCGTCTATATGATTTTCTGAAAGCAATATATGAGGCCTGCAAGAAAGTGATCATAAATTGTATCATCACTTTCTTTTTATTTTTGTATTACATTAGGAAGCATTGTCATGCATATTTTTGGTAGAATAAATTCTCCTTTGCTATAAGTAGCTTTCTTATTTTTTTCTCCCCCTCTTTCTCAAGGCTCTTAATGGTTTCTTTTTCTTCTTTTAGTCTAATTCAGTAAATAAAATTCTGGTCACAATTCATCTTCTTTTTCAATTTTAATATATTTGGTAAGGTGGCATGTTTAAAGTCTTCAATAGACAGCAACAAAGAAAGCCAGAAAATGGCTAGGGCTTCTTACAAGTGATTTTTGTTTTTTTGCTTTTGTTTTCATTTTTTGAAGGAAATGGATTTTGTTTTTCATGTAGAGGCTCAAGCCATAGATTTAAATTAGTAATAGAAACAGGATTGGGCAGCCTAAGAGTTGGGCCAAGCCCAAGCTTTTGAAAGTGGAGAAATAAAGTGCCTACAGAAACCCCCAGCTCTAGGAATGAGTAAAGTGGAGTTTCTTGAACAAGCTACCAGTCTCCAGGTCAATAACTAAGTTATCAACAATTCATTTATTTATACACGTTTGTTTGAAACATCTACATTCCGACCCCTCCCCCC